TTGCATACACCACTGGGATTATGGGATCCTTCCTACCCTACTTCCAGTGGTATGATCAACCTAACGAGCTGACAACTCCTGTAATAAATGGCTTGTTATGAACCTTGTATAGCTAATACTGTTAACACAGTGGGCACAGTCCCTGGCAAGATTGACAGTCTATTAGTAAAATACTGTAGTTGACTGCCAGGCATAATTTCAAAGGGGCATTCCCATTTGCCAAGCATTGTATGCATGCCCGCATATTTGATAGGTACCTTTCAGATGTTCACGTATGTCCTCAACACTGCAAGCAGTGTGTTTGTTGTGTTCGGCGATGCCAGTGTACTCAACACAAACCTACATTTCCTATAAGTATACTTGTACTGGCAGAATCCAGTACATCTGTTACTACGTGTATACTTGTAATCAGCAGTCGACATGTTAACGAATATGGCTTCCCATGATAATTTGTTAAATGCAAGTACAGCAAATACATGTACATGTACCTGCATGGGATTCTTAAATAAAGTAATAAATATGTGCTTGACCTGTGTTAAACATGCGCGCTTCAGACCAGCTCAGGAGAATGGATGCGACTAATAGCCGAGCCCCACCAAGGACATGTTTATTCCCATTCATCAGTACTATTTTAGCCAGAGAGTCAAAAGAAGTCAATATATGATAAATGTCCAAGGATTTAGTTCAAAAATTTTACTTTCATTTTCCTGAACACCCCCATCCATTTTGTGGTACATTCCTTCTGCAAATAGTCCGGAAGAATGTCCTTATATGGGCTTCATGCATATTTGGCCAGTTCTGCGAGCCGCTGCACACACAGAGTCTTGACCAATCCACTCTGACCTGAACAAAAGAGGGCATGTTTGTAAATAAAACTGACGGCTCTTTCACCAATTAGGCGCACAAGCAAATGCGCATTTGACGTGAAGCACGCTGAGTACACACAACAAATTTATTCTGAAACATATGATCTTTGCGTACACGCAAAATGCGTGCTTGAAATTGATTGTAACCATATGTCTTTCTTTCACCGATGGGGACTGCACTTCAGTTCAGGGTGGATAGGGATGGATTAAACTGTCTCATATCCTGGTGCCAGGGCATTTTTACACAGCGGGCATTATTTAGTCACAGCGGGCATTACCAAATGTTAACACTAGGAGTGAGCAACTAGTGAATTTAGTAGTCACAACTATTACCATGTCCGCGGCTACATAACAACACAGGGTTAATATTGGGCTTTTTGCTTTCGGGAACGAAATATGAGGATGTTTTTCAGATGAAAACTTTTGTCAAAAATGCTTGTGACATTCCTTATTTGTTTCTCTACTTACTTACACCAGTTTTTGGAAGAAAACCTGGATCGTTTTCCGCAATGCAATCAACAACTTTGCAGAGGTGAAAAGCAAATGCCATTCGCAATTCATTGAAATACCTGATCAAGCAGTCATACTGTTCTCATTTGTCCAAGTTAGCTCATAACATCAGTGCCAACCCCAGACACTTTTGGTCATTTGTAAACAGAAAGCATTTTTGTTATGCCACCCATAGCTTTTGTACTGATAACATGGATATCTTTGACCCTGATCTTATTTGTAAAAACTTTAATTGACATTTTTAATCTCATTTCAGTGTTGATTCCATTGATGATTCTCATTTCAGGTTATCACCTGATGGTTGTGGGTATCACCATACTCAGCTTTGTCTCCATTTCAAAATTTCTGGCTGTATCTCTGATAATGACACATGTACCTAGTTTTAGGCCACACATTTATGTAGTGTGGAAATACCTGCATAATTACATGTACACTGACTAGAAATTTAGACAGCAGAACATGTACATATATATGACTTATTATTGGGTTAACAGCTCCAAGTCGGGCTGTAAAAAATCAGGAACAGTCAGAGGAGGGGAATCCAAGCACTGGGACCCCCCCACACACAAACACCACACACCCATAAACATGTTAACCTTTGGTTTGGCCAAGCCACTGCAAGGTAAACAAACACTGCTCAGAAATTTTGTTTCACGCCTTGACAGCTTTGCTTTTTTTTATCATGTGATGACAGCCAAACATTTTTCAAGAGAATGAAAACCTTTCAAACAACTAAGCATGCGCCCATACATGCATATGATTTTTAGATGCACATGTATAAGTTATTAAATGTCAATTTTGAAAAATGGGGAGACTTATCCATCTATATGAAAATCATATTTTTACGAACAATTCATATGCTCCTGGGATGACTTCATGTAACAGTGGACACAATACCCAAATTTTAAATTGACGTGAAAGTTTTCATTTGTTTCACATATGAATTCAGATTTACGACATTTGTGTTATCAGTGCAACGAAGAAGGGATTAAATAATCTGTTTTGGTAATAATGGTAATAACTCAAAACTCAGCAATTGTCATTATTATTGGCATGCAACTTTCACTCTGGTCACATGTAAGTGGAAAACTTTTTTTTTAAGTGTTAATCTTCATTTTTCATTTTACACATTTTGTTTCCTTTCAATGATCATGTTTAATTTGGTTACCAAAACTGATGTTCTGTTGTCATGAAAGATTTTTGTTATTTGTAAAACCTGTTATGGGAATGCTGTGAAAAATACTAAGCAAAGCATGTTTTGGTGTGCCAAGAAGGTGGTGCTTTATCTTACTGAAAACCCTTTACCTAGCTTATTCTGTAAATTAAAGGCCTAAAATTTATATGTGTTTAATTTTTTCCCTCAAACCAAGTACCAAACAGCCATGATAAAACATACAGGATTTCTTTGTTTGGTTTGTCCACAGGAATCCTTTTATAAACTTGTCGCACAAATGGAAAATTTACCTGATCATCAGCTGAACAATTAAAAGCAAAACCCAAATGATTGTATTTAATCACTATTGATCAAATATATGGATGACTTGTACCACAAAGAATGAAGTGACATATGGTATAGTGAATTTGTAAATCTATTTCAATGTTCTTAGACAGATAGTAACACTTTCTCATTTTAATGACATTTTTGCTCACCATTTTAATTGTTAAATTTCAAGTGTAAAATAAATCACCATTTGGTCTGATAACCACGGTGGTTTTTATAATAAAATTCCATTCAATTCAACAAACAAATATAGCAACAAAGATTACAGTTTTAAAATGTACGAACAGCCAACAACACACAGTTCCAGCGGGGGTGAGCAAAGAATGTCCCTCTTAGCTGAATAATTATCTTCTAGGATGTTAACAATGCCCACATGTACATGCTTAGGCCCTATTTGTGTGTTGTTGTTTTTTTACTTTCAACCTTCTTAACGACATTCAGAATGTATTTCAGTTTAGCAAGAGCTGGTTATGTTACAACAATCATTCTAAGTTGTGAAAAATAATAATGCTTTACGCATTATGCTTTGATTTCTTAATGCCTGCTGCTCTTCAAACCAGCAGAGGGCAGCAAACATGTACATGTATGCATCTGATCAGGCAGTGTCCGAACATGCACCTCCATGGTCCACATTACTTGGCTGTGGCTTGAAATAATGCATGCATCTAAGCTTGTTTTTGCTGTCACTTCCCATAGATTTTTGTGTAATTTCAAACGACAGCAAAAAATTCATACATAGCTTCACATCTTAAACTTGCAATTCAACTTGCCTCATCAAGAAGGCAAAAAATTGTATAACAAATGCAGAAAAAAGCATCATACCGACTACATGTATCTAACCAGTGCAGAACCCTCTACAGTAAAAATGCAAGTACAAGTACCGTGAAGAAACTATGTTCAGTTGTGAAAGATGAAATACGTCTTGCATTAAGGAGCTGGCAATACCTGTGCATGGTATGAATGCAGTACATGTACACAATATTAAATTTTAGATGGGTAGATGGGTGGATAGGTGGGCATACAAATACTGAACATGTGTTCAAGTACATCTTGGAGACTGGAAGGAAGCCTCCTTTTCTTTTATGGTAGCAAGCTCCTGTATAATCTGCACAAACACAGTAATTATTCCACAATTCGATTAACAGCTAGCCAGGCACCCTGTAGGTTGGACACAATGTCTGTTGATAGTACCAGTCTCTATATACATGTACTAATACATGTACACAAAGGGTATGCATCAGTATGTTGCATAATATGAAGCAATTCCTGACTCAGTTTCCTTCTATTTTTCTAGACACCATTCTCCAAGGTCTACAATCATGTCTATTTCTAGCACCATGAAGCAGACATCATACTGTTTTAGAGACTATTATAGTGGACACTTGTTAAAGTGATTTTCAGATGCCATATGTCTGATGCACCCATTCCCAGTTCCAGCCCATTCAAATGTGTGACAGCCTACCTCATGAATGCTTCTCCACATTATAATTTTCAGGCCAACCTTTCCTACACAAAACAGTCATGTAAAAATAATTCCATCTTTTTTTCACTTTTGGTAATTCTCACTTCTCAATGAAGTAACATTACAAATGAAATTGTTTTCCAAGTTTTGTAACATGCAGTGTGGTTACACTGTTCCCACTGCTAAATTGGACCTTAAATACTGTAGATGGGCTGGGAACCAGTCTATAGCAATGCGTATACTAAAAGTCATTCCAAGGAGATGCATGAAATGTTGATCGCCCATGCTTGGGGATGTGGATATCATGGAGTGCGAAGGTCCGTCAGCTCAGTGCCGAACTGATGAAACAGAAGTGTGTTAGCATCTCGGGTACCCCTGCTCATGGCTAAGACCTTTATCTTCATCTAAGTA